CTCAGAGCCCCGAAGACAGCCTACCCAAACCACGGTAGAGTGCGTTGCAGCCGACCGATGATGATGAGCTAGGATACCTAGCCTGGGTGCCAGACCCATCACACTGGACTTTGTGTCCAGTGTGCTACGGATCTGGCACCCAGTCTAGTGCGTGGATACCAGGCTACTCCGAATTGTGCTGTGTCTGGCAGGCTTGTAAATATGCCATTGATGTCTGGCTAAAAAAATGCGAAAGAAGGTACGCGAAGGAATGAATTCCGTGCTGTGTGGGTGCCGCGTGTTAATAAAGTGGCGCGTTTAACTTCCTTCACAGACAACTTGAAGCAGCGACGTTTGTTACCTCCATGCATGAAAAATGGAAGTATTGTTTTTGGTCGGTGTGAGTATGTGTGTGTTTCCGCACATCTGTTGTCATCATAACGTCAGAACGCCTTTATGGATTGTGATCATATTGCGTATGTTGGTACATGTAGGTCGTAGGAAGACAAAGGCTATGGTAAAATATGGGCCTCCTGGTGGCTGACCTTGGTACTACAGCAGAACGTCTGTTGTTTTTTTTAATCTTTTGTCCTGAACATGGTATGGTCTTGACTTTGTGATAGCTAAAGAGGTTTGGGTTTTGGCTTTTTTGGCGGGTTTTGGGGGGTTTTATCGGGCATTCCTTTTTTGCACTGGTTGGCGTAAAAAAAAAGATCCAAGTGTAGAGAAGAAAGCCCTCCAAAAAAGTCCAAATACACGCCAAAATAAGCCAAAGCCCAAACCTCTGCTTGGAGAGTACAGTGCGCGTAGGCCGTACGATTAATCTACTCACCTGTTGGACTGACATTTGCCTTTAGACAAAAGGTTTTTCAGGTTGACTTGGATTACAAGAATGTGCAATTCAAGTCATCAGAGTATTTCTAAGGAGAAACAAAAGGTCACTTTTGTTTGGAAGTTACGCCAAGTTGGGTACAGTGTGGGAGGTTAGTGTGTGAGTAGGATGGGACTGGGATTTGGCAGTAAACATCTTTTGACAGTTGTTATTTGAAATTCTGCCCGAGCTTTGAGAAAAGGAAGACTCTTGTGTGTCAACGTAATTAAGCGCAATTTTAAGGAGAAAGCAACAGGGGATCCTGAGAATTGTACAATTGCCTACGAGAGAGTCCGCGAACTTGAAAATGGTCCAAGTTTCACAAGCTGGAGACTGCAATTGAACAGGTGTTACCCACTTTGATTAGAAATGTTGATTCCACCTTTAAAGCAATACATGTATTATGTAAGGTTTTTGCGCCAAAACTGTAAATATGAATAATTGAAATTTTCTCATCTAGATTGTCATTTTCAATAACATATTAGAGTCGCTTTTTCACTTTTCCTGCGACTCAGCGCGCGCAGAAATAGAATTAGTTGCACCAGGCCCGCTGTATTTTTAGGAGGCTCCTAAAAAGAATGTAAACAAACAGCGGTAAACAAACCGAGGAGTTGGCAGTTTTTCAACACGTTTTTGCGGCGCAAAACGACGTTGATCTTTTACTCCCCAAATGTCATTATGAACCCAGGTAGGCTTACAGCACAAGAAAATGTGTAAAACAACGATGTTTAAAATAAGTGAAAATCTTACATTATATCGCTTTAAGATGTTCGCACATGTTACATGTGAGGTGCCATGTGATATCTTTCTCGTTGTTTTTTTCGGTCTGACGATCCAAAATCAAAGAACCCCTTTCGACGCCTTCCTCATTAACTCTTCATTTGACTTCAAGGAAAAACGCAGTGATAGAATTGGTGTCCACCAGACTATACTTCCACAAATTTCACGTAATTTCCTTAATTTCTCCGGGCGTTGTGCTCGCAGGCGCCACCGGTAAACTTAGAACACATCTGTTACTATCAGATACTAGTACATGTGGTAGGTGGTATTAGCTCACTTATCACACTTAAGGCCATGCTGATTTGATTATTTGGATGACATCCACGCGCGCATGAATTTTCGTCCGCTTCCAAAAAGAAATTCGACCATACTGTAAATCGTTCAAAATGAGAGAATATATGTCGTATGTTGCAAAAAAAAAAGGATTTCAAAACGATACAAATGTCATAGAATGTCAAAATCAATTCAGGAAAAGAAGAAAATGCGAATAAATGAAAATGAATAGTCTATCAATTCTTTTTTGCCATACCATACTCATTTGTTTAAGTCATTTGTTCAACCTTTATGTCCACGTAGTTTTCATAATGAAGGAAACTTTTTTGTCAAACTTTTTTATTCGCACGCTCGCCTCAGTATTAGGGTTCCCTGTAGATGCCATCCATATAATCGAGTCAACATGGCCTATTTTATTTTAGTATTTACTTAAGTCTAGTGCTATAGGGACGACCTGTTATTACATTGTACTTGCGGTGGTTTACATCCGTTGCCAATTTGCCAAGTCAAGTCTTTTATTAGCCCTTTTGCTTCTGAAAGGATCATAAAAGAGCGTAAAAACCTTCTTTTTTTTAGAATTGCAGTGTAGTTTTCTATATTATTATGGTTGACTTATTCTTATTTCAGAGTAAAGGCGAATGCACCGTAACTGTGATTTAGAACCATCAGACTCGGCTTTCGTGTCCAAAGGCAGGTGGAGACTATGGTAAATTGCCTTTTCAGTTCCTTTTAATCCAACGAGGTCAGTGCACTAGCTGACCGTAGGTGACCTCGGCTCCGATTCTTGTCCGGTCTTTGAACCTCATCTCGCCGAGGCTTTTTTTCGCGGCCCCCGTGGCGGTACGTAGCCTGGTATCCAGTCTATCGTGGTTGGGGCAGGCTGTCTTCGGGGCCGCCCGATAGTTTTCCCCGTCCAGCCCAACAGACCGCCCGGTACCATGGGTACGGGGGGTGTGACACCTGTGAAAACTGAGTTTGACACGCCCGGAGTTGATTAGCCCCACGTGACATGCCAAACCTACCGGGGAACCTTGCTGAGTCGGGCGGGGAAGAGCTTCTGCAGCCCCGAAGAAAACCCACCCCAACCACGAGATAGACTGGATACCAGGCTACCGGCGGCGGTTGGGCTGTCATTACCGTTTTTTGACGTCGCCGCAAAACTACCACACCGCCATTTTATACCTTCTTGTGGAGGTTTTACTTTTATCTTCAAAGACAACTGTCTGGTTCCATCCTCAGACGAATGTCCTTGAGATAGATTGTTAAAATCAACTAGTGTTTTATACGGTTTCTCAAGACCCCCTTTAATTTTTTTCAAAAAGTTTGAATACAAGGAAATGTAAAGATTGCGTTTCTAATGAATTTTTAAAAATAATTTCTGGTTAAGTAATTTTTGCTGCGCCTAACGAGACACTTGTTCCCTGTCCCTTACCCTGGGTGCCAGCCAAGTTTACAGGCCGCTAACCGTTTTTTTCGGCAGCCAGGGTACTTCGCCCGCAGAGGAGTATATATATATTTGAGGGCGGCCAAACTCCCCCCGGGCTAGACTCCCCCGTAGCAGTAATTTAGACCGGCGGGCGAAAGGCTATTGCCGCCCGAAGAACGAGTTTGGCATCCAGGGTACCTGTCCCTGGTTTTAGATAGCCTGGGTACCATCCCCAGTAGTATATTCGCAAACTCTATAACCAGTTATAGAGTTTGCGAATATACTTTGCAACTTTGCAAAGGACGGCAGACTCTGCGTCATGTCCTCAACATGTGCCCTGTAGCCCTCAAGGACAGGTATACCTGGCGACATAATAGTGTCCTTATGGAACTAGTCAGCACCCTTAAGCTGTGGCATGCAAAGTCCAACCCAGAGGTCACAATCAGGTGTGACTTAAGCCCAGACTACCTGGAAGGAGGTACACACACCACAATTCCCCCAGACATCCTACCGACACCGCTGGTACCTGACATCACAGTCCAGGATCCTGTCAAACGAACGCTGACCCTGATTGAACTTACCGTCCCGTTTGATCAGAATGCACAGGACGCCGAGGATAGAAAATCGGCGAAGTACGAAAGTCTGGTTAATGACATTAACTTTCATAGTGGATACAGGGCTACTCTTGTTACAGTTGAAGTAGGAAGCAGAGGGTGGATTAACGGCGAGAACATTGCAAAGCTGAAGTCACTCTGTCCGGTCAGTCACAAAGACCGTGAAGTCAGACATCTTAAAAGTAGACTGGGAAAGTGTGCACTTTGTGCATCTTATGCAATCTATTGTGCCAGAAACACGCCTGCTTGGGAATGCACTTCAGGATTGTTCTACTGTAAAAATTAGATGTAAAATTTAGCTGCTGTCTTTTTTAAGAACTCTAAATTGTAATTGTTATATAATGTACCCGTAATTATAATTATATATGGCAATTTTTAACAGAGAACGTCTGTATGTCCGATGCACACAGTGACTAGTATATTGTATTTTTGTCTGTCCACCTTGCGTCCTCCTCTTGTTACCTAAACATGAGACAAAGGATTGTCCTAGGTTTTTAGCTATGTATTTAATATGTCATTCATCTTGTATGGAATAAAGATGATTTTAACCCCCTGGGGATGGTACCCAGGCTAGGTTTTAGAAGCATTTCACTTTAAGAACTGGAAAAAATATATTTAAGTGCTCCAAGACTAGCCCATGTTTGTTATTATCCATTCAACCGCAATTGCAAGATTCTATTTTATTCAAATCCCCTCATTATGCAGTTTTGTACACTCTAATCCTATAATGTCTTCAATTTCCTTCTGTTAACTGTAATCATTCTCTCGTGTCAAGTCATGGACTTTACATAAACATTGCGCGCTCCAAATTACTTTCTTAGGCGGTTTAATGAATTGTAGCGGCTCTCCCGTGTCAACGGCCTCGGGGTTATACGAATTTGACGCGCGTGTATTAAAATCTGTCGTGCTGTATCCATTCACACGAGGATAACTTATTTTGACGATTTGATAAATCCTAATTGGGGTTGTAATTGTAGCCGGGCGGTTGTTAGAAGTTTTGGTATTGTGCAGTTTTGCCTGGGGGCTATGGGGTCGTGTTTGTGGGGGTGGGGTCACGGCGGTGCATGCCGGGACGGCAGTGCGGGATGGGGACTGTGGCTGGGAGCGGAGCAGCGAGGATCCGAACCACCGACACCCGCGACAAAAACGCCCAAGCACCGCTTTAGGATGACCCACAGACTTCATCCCCCGCTTTGTACACGACCACGGAACCTTCAAGCCGCCCAAGGTAGCAAAATGCGCGCCCTGGAGTCGCTCTGATGCCGCCCTGAAGCGGCGATTTGGGCTGCGGTGCTGCGGACTTGTGGAGGGGTGACTCCAACCTAACCAGCTCGTGTGTATATACGGTGAGGGAAAAGCCCGCCGCGGTTTACCCCGGGATTTTTACGTTGTACAGACCTCGTAATAATTTCCTTCTCCTTTCGTCCCGTACGTGAACATTTGTTGACCTCTAATACACGGATCGTAAGTTCTCATTCAAATGGTGGACATAATGATGTGCGACGTGATGCCCACGATTTCCGAAGACTCGATCTCTCAGCGCGGCTCGCTGGCCGGCGGAGACGATGCCAATTTCGAACAACTGATGGTCAACATGCTGGACGAAAGGGACAAGCTTCTGGACAGCTTGCGCGCCACTCAAGAGAGCTTAGCGACCACCCAGTCGACCATGAAGGAGCTACAACAGGAAAGAGACTCACTACAGAGGCAACTCCAGTCTAGTCTACCTCAGGTGAGGGGTTTAAAAGATCGTAAACACACGGCTTCCTGAGAGCTAGTAGCCGAGCTGGGTGGAGGGGGAGGGGGGCACTGCCGCCATTTTGTTTATGGAATTTTATTGACGTTTCCGCTGATAAGATTTCAGTCAACTCTGAACATTCCACGGTCCCTTCTTCCATTGTTACAACTCCTGCGGCGTCAGGAGGTTTCTAACCCGGCTTGCCGGCGCCGAAAAACGCGGTTTGCCGCCAAAGGTTGTGTCAAAAATTAGTTCTGCAAATGTGGCGAGTTGGGAAAACCTAACCCAGCCCAACACGCCATGCCTCATGGGAAATTCACTTCCACTTCCGGCTTAGGTTTCCTAGAAATACGGAAAATTAATCATTCTTTGCAATAATAATCGGTTCTAAATTTAATTTCAAGGAACACTTTCTTGTAGAAAGCTGGGCACTTGATATATGTAAATGATATGTGCCCTAAAAACACATGTAAACATTTAAAGGGAACCATAACCATATGATCCCTGTTGTTTCACAATGGGAGTAGAAATATGATATTACTTTCACAATCATAAAAGTTAAAGAAAAAGATAGTTATCTAAACGAACTACTTTGTTGTTGTACTACTAAAAGCCTTGAGGAATGCGAATATTTGAAAACATACAGTAAAGGCAGGAAGTGACATCATCAATTTGAGTAGGAAGTTTTTCCTTGCAGAAGGGGAGTGCCCCATTCTGAGACCATGAATGTGGGTTTTAACATTCTTGGGGATTCTTGAGGCATTATAAGACATCCGTAAATGATATGTAGGGTTCTAGCCAGGATTTTTCATAGCATAGGGGTCAGGTACAGAAGAGCAACTTTCGTGGCGCAAATCGTGCATTGAGCCGAAATATTTTGAAACTCATTTTGAAACTCATTTTGACACTATTTCTTGTTTAATGAGGAACAGATTTTGTGAAGTTAAGGTTTTCCCTTTGCTATAGCTTCATTCTAAAGTTACATTTTCATTTTTTTTGCAAGATTTATGAAGGTTCTTCCTCCCAAAACACCCCTATGTTGGTTGAAAGACAGCATAGGGGTCAAAATTATGGCATAGGGGGTCACTCAAAATCATTGCATAGGGGGGACCCTATGCTAAAAAGGCCTGGCTAGGACACTGATATGAATACTTGGCTGTTGAATATTTTAAATATTACAAAGCAATTCTTTTAGGATAGCCTGTAAACAGTACTATTATTATCATAATTCCTTTACAGACATTGTGGCACCTTGGTTTCGTAATCAAGACTGATTTCTAAATTACTCTATTGCAATTATGGCAATTTCATATTTTTTTTTACACAACAAAATTGACTTTAAACAACCAGAACCAATCCAGTATCTGACTTATGTTTAACTAAGGTATTTTTGACACAGGTTTAGAGTATAGATATTAAACATGTATGATGAGAGAATGCCATGAAATGTATGTTATTATGCAAACTTATTGTGCTTCTCCAAGCCACAATCCATGAAAATTTGAACATGATTTTTCACAGTCTTGCAGACCATTAAACTCTTAAGTGGTGCATTCTCACTCATTCTGATAACTGTAAATATAATCTTGTGCTACAATTTTTGGCTGTGTATGTGTTAAAATAAATTTTAAGAAAGCCATTTTAGCAAAGGAAAGAAAAGATAATACATGTGAAACCATACTGTTACCTATCATTGTGACACATACAGTGTGTCAGTGAAAATGTTTACAGAAATAACTGTCGTGTTTTCAAATTAGTTGAATACCTGTATTACAATCCTTTGGTAGCAAGTTACACAGTAGTAGGTACATGCAGTATGAGTGGGAGGGGGGCACCTAGGGGGGTGGGTAGGCTGTCAAGTTTCTCTGTCAAGCTAAGCTGAGGTCAGACACAACAACACATATCCAGATAACAGGAAAATTCTCTGTGCTGACTTCAACAAGCATTAGCTCCGCCCCCACAGGAGTAAAGGTCTAATTTTATACACCTCGGAACAGTGATGGGCAGTGTACATGTAGCTAGGGGACAGCCCAGATGAAGAAAGAATTGACCTGGTGCTGACTTGATTAGTATGTTGAAGGGCCAACAGGGGACAGAGCCATGCTGTCAAAATATGTCTGGTTGCAACTTGGGAGGCTTGCATTGGTGTAGGGTTACTTTTCCTCTCAGTAGGAGGGAGGGTATTTTTTCAGGGTAGAAGAGTTGGGGTTGAGAAAAGGTTACACTCCAGCGATGCCACCGATGATATCAAGGGTGTCCCGACTTTATGTAGGGATCGTTTTGAAGTGCAGAACAAGTTGCAGCAAGTCTGTGACGTTTTGACGAAACTTACAAAAACGTTGGTGGCAAAATCTCAGCGACTCTAGGAATTCAGAACAATTAGTGATGGAATTCTGTATATGTTTGACTTCGCTGGGCCTGCCAATATTGACGATTACAAATGACAGCAGGATTGGGCTTCTTTATGATTGTATCTTGGCGTGTATCAGACAATTTTGTGCCAGTAGTAGCATGATGTGGAGTCCCGGAGTCCCAAGCTTGCACATGTAACTGATATGTGCAACTAGGAAGAAATGCATAACTAAAACAGTAAACTCATACAAATTTGTCAAAATGGCATAGATAGAATACTTCTGAAGGCACCTTTTTCAAACTGATGAGTTCAGCGTAATCTTTTAATAAAGATAACAATCACTCTTATCATATCCCATAAAAACTACATGTACATACTTCTCCCATGAAATGATTGGTGTCGCCCAGAGAGTATTTTTAGTACTTGAATTGTCAAACAAATGGAATACCTGAATGAGGTAAATGAAGAGTTATAATAGCCATTGTGTATTGCCTAGCAGTTTACGCAAAGTTACCAAGCAACTTCAGGGCTTGAATTTGAAAATTTTTTTTCCGCATACCTGCACTGGTGCAGGTAAAAGTGAAAATTACCTGCACCAGACAAATTCTAACTGAACCATACTGAATTTAGCAAGTATGGATCATACTATAACTGTTCAGAAACCATTGTCAACAGTTTTTGTCATTATTTCTTAAATAGAGTTATACTTCATTGGTGGTAACAGCCAATGCAGCAAATGAAAATCCACCTTTAAATCCAGAACAATAACAGTGACATTGAAGGTTAGGTGCAGGTAGATATCAAATGAATCGTTATTTAAATTAATAACATTATATCCTGCATATCAGTGTTTCCGCCAGACTGCAGCTGAGAGGCCGTCCAGTTAGGAAGGGCCGGGTCGCGAAAATTAATTAACTTAGGGAACACGTCGCGAAAATTAACTGAGGGGGCGGGGCATTTGTTTACACTTGTTTACAAGTTGAAACTGTCCACAAGCATTCCACATTTTTTTTTGTATTGACATAAAAACACTGTTACAGATGGGAAACGTATCGTCAGGAAATTATAGTTGCAAAACTCTGCTGCAAAACTCCAAACATCGGCATCATAACCTCCGGTAGCGCCCGCTTTTAATTCTATGAGCCTTGCTTCGTTCGAACTCGTACTTCTTCCGTATATTTCCGCTACGAATTACTCGTTAATATCAAGACAAAAATACATCAAAACATGTAAAGAAACGTCATCTTATCTCTCATACACGAGACAAATTTTGAAAAATAATTGGCTGTATCGTAGCTTTCATTGCTGTTTCATTCAACAAAAATGCTCCTTGATTGTAAAATGATCACTCATCTGTTGTCTCCAGTACAGTGTCAAATGGTAGCGTGATCGTAGCGTGCGAAAAATCGGCGTTAAAAGTCAGAAAATCGCCGGAAAAATAAACTTGCAGCACACATTCTTAACCTCGCCGGAGAAGGAAATACGCGCCATTTTGTCATTAATATGTAAGTAGCAGCGTAAACTCTACGCTGATTGGTTGACCTCATATGACCTGCGCTCTGATTGGATAGAGCCATTTTTGCCGGCATAGCTGTAGAATTTGTTTGTTGGCGAAGAGAGTTACACTACGTTACTTTCTACGGTGTTTCTACCGCTAATTAGTAACATTCCATTAAGAAATTCATTATGAAGAATTTTGGAAATGTATGCATCCATATGCCGATTTGTGGTGCCTTTCGCGTATTCAAGCAAGCCGGAAGTGTTAGCGAACCGCGGCGTGGATAGCGAACTGCGGCGTGGATTTTCATGCAACCCGCCCGCTACAAGACCATCAAAAACGAAAACGTGACTCCCAAAGGAGAATTTTCACATCCGAAATGATTCTGTTCGAGGAAAAATGTTTGTGGATACATTTTACCGGATGGAGACTTGAAAAACGGGTTTTAATGAGATTAACGTATGCGAAAGGCGCCGACATCAATTGTTCGTCAGCATGATAACAATAGCAAAACAAACAACGTGTGTCTTTCTTGCCTTGGACGGCGTCCTCGTCTACAGCAACAAAACAAAGACTGTCAATTTCTCTGATTTTTCCGAGTCTCGAGATTTTTTAAGAGGACGGCCTCTGTCCGAGTTCAGGCCGTCCAAAACGACACCAGGCCGTCATATGACGGGTGGACGGCCCTCTGGCGGAAACACTGCTGCATATACTCAGTACATGGACCAGTGCAGGTTAGGTGCAGGTAGACATCAGAAATACCTGCACTGCTCCAGTTTTACCTGCACCAAACTGCATATGCCCAGTACATGGACCAGTGCCGGTTAGGTGCAGGTAGACATCAGAAATACCTGCACAGCTCTAATTTTACCTGTAGTTGCAGGTAATATTTCCAGCCCTGACATTTTCATTCCCATTTCTAACACAGACACAAGTTGTATAATGACCATTAGTGAGTCATCTTGTATAATCATAGGTGTGTTAAGGAGGATTTTACACCTGAGCCCTCGTGCTATCTTATCTGTCATATGGATGAAGTTCTTAAGTGTTCTGTATATCTGTGTGCCACACCTTGAAAAGGTGGGTGTTGCATCTTCCGTATCTGTGTCAAGTTCCCTTCCAAATGACACTGGATATCTTTCT